ATGAGCCAGGTATGTCCCTCACGACCCACTCTCGAGCTTTTTTTCTGGAAGCAGAGTAAAAATTTCAAAGGGAAGTCCTCTATTTAAAGACTTCCCTACCAAGTGGAAGCATCTTTTCCCCGGACATGTTTCATATCCTACCAAAGGGTGACCAAATGCCTTTTTATGTCCCTCCCAGTGCCGAACGACGGGGAAGCGGAGGTAAGTTGAGGCTCAACTGGCTTCCCTTGGGAATAAAGGCAGAAACCAAAGGCATATACATTGTCCAGGTGGGGGCTGGTGTTCCCTCACTGATGTCACTCCTAGTCTGCCGTGATCCATAACTTGACTTCACATAGAAGAATTGCAGGAAGTAATGACCAAACTGTTTGTGTAAAAAACACAAATGATAATTAGCCAGTACCGGGTGCCAAGTGCATAAAAACACATTTGCTCATTGATCTATGTCTTTAAGCCAAGCACCATGTGTGCCTTCCCCTCCAACACTCTGACACACAAAGACCTAATGATGTTTTCATGATGTGTGTGAAGAGCACTCAGACAATCTGTTGCAATTCCTCTCTTTATTATGACAACTACCCTCAGGACACCAAGAAAAACAAACCTAAAATTTAACAGAAAACAAGCTGCTGCCATAGATAGGCAGCAATACATCTTTTTTTTATAGGAATACATAGAAAGAACAGGATGAGAAGCCTCCTCCCCCCACTTTTTTATTTTAGACTGGAAATACTTTAGAGCCAAATAATGACCCATAAGTTTCTTGGGGCCGGATGAGCAGGGAGAAACATAAAGAGGTGATAGGATAAACTGCTTTTTTGCCAATGAAGAACGATGGTTAAAAATAACAACATACTCTTTGTACAGCCCAAAGGGTGTTGCTCCTGGTGGAGGTGGAGAAGGGAAGGGAGATTTTGCTGACTGAGGTCACTCTGCTCCTTTTTTTTTACAGGTTTGATAAACTCTGCTCCTTCCCCCATTCCCTGCAGAGCTGCTACCCCTGCCTGCCTGGAGGCAAGGTGCTCACAGCCCAGCACTGGTGCTCGGCTGCTGGGCTGACTCACTCCCAGCCCCAAATGGCTCTGGCTCCACATGCCAACATCAAGTCTATTTTAATATTGAAAGCTCCCGTTTTTCAGGCACTGAGCTCATGGAGCCTTTGCAGCAGTAAAAATAACACTCCCAAGCAGCCAGGTATTTATCTGATCTGTTGTCCTTAGCTCCCCATAGGGTTCTTACAGACACACTTGGCATTTTCATTAGCGCTGTATGAAAAACTTGTTTATGTTAGGACTGTGGTATGGACAGGGATATTCATGCCAGAACCACCCCTTGGAAAGGAATGAAAATGTCCATGCCACTCACTTTGCACAAATTCAAACCAGAAGCAGTGGAGCTTGTGCTGCAGTCCCAAAAGCACTCCTCTACTTTTTGTTTTGCCTGCTTTTAGAGAGGTGCTGGTAGCTATGCCAGCAACTGGCACATGCAAAAGTCACCTCCCCGCAACAAATCCAGAATAAACAGTTTAGGGCAGGGGACTAATACAGTGCTGGGAAGAACAAACTGTTATTTGAATGTCACTGCTCTTTGCTCCCAGCAGCCACATTACCAGGTCAGCTGAAACGCGCTGTCCCCAGCCCTCTGTGGAGTCCCAGACTTTGGGGCGAGAAGACCTGTGAGGCTCGTGCTGTCACCTGCCTTATTGCACAGAACAGCTCTGAACCCTCATAAGGTATTGAGGGCAGAAGAGCATGGCAGAGCATGGGGTGTGCCACCGTACGGCCTCCCAAAGGGCTGGTCTGACAGCCTGCCCTAAGCCTCTGGAGGAGCTCAGCTGTGCCTTTGTGACTGCTTCCAGCCAACCTTAGCAGATGTGGCTGAAGAAATCAGTGTGAAACTTTAGTTGCAGTCTCATACCATACCTCATCTAACAAGCCCCTGTACATCAGCAGGGTTTTTCAGATCACGTGCAGTGCCGGGCTAAATGCAGGCTGAAGGCACCTTGCACTTGGCCAGCCCATATGTCTCTGCAACACGATCCACCACTCCAGCTCTGGCTCTCCAGGATGAAACCACAGGCAGCAACGGTGCTCCTGTCATCCCTAGGTGGCCTGACCCATCTCTAACTTCCCAAGCCTTTTGTGACATTTTTTGCAGCAAAGTTTTCTCTCCTTCTGCATACAGGAAAGGATGCTCTTCTTTGGACTAGGCTGTAGTTATCAACAATGCTGGGATTAAGTTCCTCTGAGTTCCTGCCTCAGTTGTTTTGCCTAGAAAGCATGACACTTTGCTATTGCACTAAGTTATGCAAATAGGACATGGAAGTATATACTCACTGCCATGTTTATTTTGCATGTCTCATGTGAAGAATATAGGATCTGAACTGATCCAGGTGCATACTTCACACTGCAGGAGCCTAAAAGTTATGAGAGTGGAAATCAGGCTGGATCTGCTTTGTTAGCGCTGAAAATGCCCCTTTAATTTTTCTGCCTCTGCTTTCTACTTTTCAGGGATAGTGCATGACAATACTGGATAAAGCAACCTAGAAACTTTCCAGAACTGTGCTACTCAAGAGCAATGAATTTAAGTGCTTTCTCATGTACAAAAAGCAATGAAAGTCCTATTGCCAGGACTCTATCTTTAATCACTTGTACAGCAGAAAGGGTTCTAAGATCTACCCCTGATAGCGACAGTAGAACTATACATTTATGGGAAAAATGCACTGAATGAGAGTGTGAGAAAAAAATCTAACACTAATGGACTAGCTTTAACTCTGAGATTATTGCAAGATAAAAGAGCATTTAAAGAAGTTCAACTTTCAGGCATAACTACAGACACCACATTAGGATCCTGTATCTCCAGGCTTCAAAGGGAAAAGCTCTGCTAGCCTGGTCAGTGAGGTCCTGCAAGCTTCCTTACCTTTGATCTCAGCAGACTGGTCTATCTCCAGGCCAACAGATCTAAAGGCATTATAAAGCTAACAAAAACAATTACCCAGTTTTAAATACACACAGTTAATTCTGTAGAGAACAATAGTGTTATTTACTGTATAAAATCTCCACATTCAGGTTTGGCAGTTTTTCGTACAACATGGTGGTACAGATCCCACACACTCACTGCCCGGGCCAAGATGACCCCAGTCACTATCACACAGTTACAAGTTTCTCTGGTGCTCACATCAGTGGTCTGATCTATCTCACTCAAAAGAAACTGACTTATTACATCTTTTAGAGCAAACACATTTCACATTTCACTTAACTTTCGCAAAAAACTGCTGAAAGAATGAGAAGAGGATGAGATTAGAGAAAACTAAAGCAGTAAGGAGAAACTGATGGTGCTCCTTGGCTGAGACACTACTATCACAGAAGAGGTAACAAGGAGGAAGAGAGGTAACTTTTTTTTTCTGATTACAGCAACTTCTGCAACCACCAGTCTGTGCCCTCAGAGATGTACTTGTCAGAGCACGGGTGAAGTATCACATACAGGTTAGAGTACTGCATAAAAAAAGCAGCAAAAATAAAATAGGCACTCTGCATAAGAAAGACCTAAATTAGAGTCCAGCTACTTTATAGCCTAGCTTAGTGACAACACAATTACGAGGCTTTGTACATTCTTAATGTAAATGGATTAACTCCTTGGATTATTCCTAGATTTTACCCAACCACAGCAAATTGTAAGCTAGCAGCATGGATTTAGCTATCCTGGCACCAAACCCCAGAGCAGATGGCTATATGTATCACTTTGGCCATCCACTCTGCTGTATACAGGGCTCATATTATGTATTTCCCAAAAACTGAAGAAATAACAAAAGTTCTAGATTTCTAGATTTGACATTCAAGAAATGCCACCTCTGTAGAGTAATCTGTAAACTCAATAACTTTGCTGAACAGTTCTCAAAGATTGTAAATTATTGTATTTCTTCCCTCAATGAACATTTATCACTGAAATCTGCACACAATTCCCAACTGATTTCCTAACAATCACTTTTCACAATAAGACGTTTCACACTGCCATCCAGAATAACACAGAATAACACTGTGTCTTACTCATTCACTGGCACCATTTAATTCTTAAACTATAAAATTCTCCTCTACAAAATGTCTCTTTTTTGATGGAGTTCAATACTCTACCTCAATTCCCTTTTTGTACTAAAATCTTGGCTGTATTTATGTTGGCTCCCAAGGACTCTCACATAAGAAACTGAAGAAACTGTGGGAGTGAGATGAAAATATATGTACATAAAAAGGAATAGAAATATTATTTTTCTTGGTTTAAAAAAAAAAAAAGTAGTTATTGCACCATGCTTTGATAAAAGCTCTGGAGAACCTGTGACACAAGTAAGAACCAGGTACTATCCTACTGCAACTATTACTACTGAATATTTCCAATGTATGTGTAGCTTGTGGACCATAGGAAAAATCCCTGGATAGGCTCAGGTCTGTAGTAAATAACATGGACTTCATTTGCTCTGGCATTACAAGTAGTGGCTTTTCCCTCCAAAAAACCTGACTGAAAAAAATGTCCACAACTTGTAGCTAAGATGGACTGTAAATTCCTCTGCTTGCTGGCAGTGCACATGTTCTTTAAACACAGTGAAACAGCATGGAGATCAGCTACTCATCACACAAATACTTACAGAAAAAGGAGAATTCCCGTGTTGGCTAAGGCAAAAGCAAGACCCAAAATCCCACTGCCCATAATCGCATTGCTGAGGTTGAAGACAGACATCCCCAGCGAAGTAGTTCCTGGGATCTGGAGAAGTAAAGACAGATGTGTCAGCAAGAACTTGCAACAGAGCAGGGAAATGCTTCAAACTCTATGTTTTGTGATATATCAAATATAAGTAACTACTGCTATGGAAAGAACTTAATAAAAATAGTTTTGAAAGAGGAAAAAGTGTCACTGAACCCTGTCAGAGCTACACTCTGATTGATGACTGTCCTATAGATTTTGTAAACTGATATAAATGGTATAGGCAACACACAACTCATACTACACTTTAAATTTTAAACCCTGTCTTTCACTACATCTGTGAAACATCCTAGGTGCATGATTTATATATTGTAAGGCCATAAGGAACCACCAGGACTTTCTGCTTAACACAGGCCAGATGGATTCCCCTGCCTCAACTCAACGAAAATGCTTGGATTTTTCGGTTTTGGGTTTTTTTAAAGAGCTGAGCACAGGGAGTTCCTACTTGAACCTGAACTTCAATCATAATTGTGTGAGCCCAGCACTTTTGAAGACCGTGTCTAAAGGCCCTTCATATACACAACATGTAATTCATTTTGATGGGTAAAAGAACAGCAAGAGACTTACATATTCATCACATTTCTTCTTCTCCAGGTGGCTGTTTGTGAGACTTCGTCTGCTTTCTCGATCCGAAATAAATTTGCTGAAAGAAGTCAGAGAATTTATTTCCAGGAAGTGTTTAGAAAATATGAACACATTAATTCCATGAGTAGCATGTGATTACAAAATATGTAATGTAAAAAAACTGTATGCAAAAAGAGGTCAAACTCATAGCTATTTAATGAGCCAGATTATGCTTCACTGATATCAGCGTACACTGAGCATCAACAAAGGTAACACAAGCACAAGGTCAGAATAAACGTACATATACAGAGTAGTCTTTTAGGAAATTCAGTAAAGCAGCAGCACCAGTCTTGTGGACGGGCAAGTAATTTGTTTGCACAGACACTAAGAGGAGATACTTCTCCAGGTGTTCTGCAGAGGTGCGTGGGGCCGGTGCCCCCTGCTCCTGACCCCTGCTCATGGGGTTGGCATAGCTAACACCATTTTATACGGCAAACAGCCATTCTCTGTGACTGGGCGAGTCATGCATTCATTCCCTTTCCCTGATTATCAGGCCCCAAAGGTCCTGTGAACCAAGCAGACCAACCAAACAGATTTCTTCTTCCCCTTCCTATGGGACTTAAGACTCCTGGGTGCCAGCCTGATTACTCCCCTTCTTGCCAGCCTTGAAGGTCCCAGGCACCCAGTCCACCATGACCTCCTCACAGAAGAGGGAGGCCTACCAGCACCCAGAGCACTGTCTGTAACATCAAGGCATTACACGTCCTAGGTGGGGAACTTGGACTGGAGCTGCTGCTGGACAGTGAGATGTGGGACCCTCAGGTGGCCAGGAATGTCCCCACCGTCCTCTTCTTCCTCTGAGGGTTGAAGGAGTGACTTGTATTCCCTTACATTCTTTTTGAGCCTAGATTATGATTGTTATACTGATACAACAAACCACGTATTAAGAATTGACCCAATCTGCGGAGGGTCCAGGTGATTAGAAATTGTAAGTTAAATTGTATTATAAATTCTGTATTATGATACTTATGGATTGTACTATGTTGATTCTGCTTGTAGAAATCCTGTGCCATTCTAATAAAAAATTATATTAGTGCTATACTAAATATAATATCCTGTTAAGAAGATAAAGCTTTAATTGTAACTACAACGTAGTGCAGTCATCATTCTGCCAAGGATCCCTAAAACACCCTGTCGCATCAGTGTTGGGAGACAGCACAGCACGCTACGAAACCCTAAATTGCCACCATAGGGTCAGTATGGCTGGAGTTAAGAGTAGGAAGAGGTTCTGCACACAGCCAGCGCTGCCCAGACCATCCTGAACCAGGCGACGTGCTCTGTTGGTGCACTGTTCTGGCCTACTGCATTTTTAATTAATTGTCTTTCAAAACTCGATACTGAATTCACCATACTGAAAAATTAAATACTTCTGTGCAGGGAAATGCAGAATGAACAGCTTTTCTTTAGCTGCACCCTTGTTCTGTGTCCTTGGTGTAGCCACATTTAGGAACTTAATCGTCACCAGAACCAGAAGATTTGCCTCCTGCGGCTGTGCCAGTTTCCTTGGGATTTACACCACTTCTGAACTGGATGAGCTGTTATTTTCTCCCAGATCTTCTCTTTAACAAAGAAAATTTTAGTTTGTATAAAGCATTCTTTCAGCTTTCATCTTTTGAAGGTTTATGCATAATTAAGTACCTGGCACCTTTGTTAATCCACAGATGGTTCTCAGGCTGCACTGGCTAATGCATCAGCTATCATACATACATGCGTATGTTGTTATATGTGTTACATACCTAACCAGGGGCTGTCACCAAGTGTCAGAGACCCTTTCTGCTGCATGTAAATTAAGGTGGCTCCTCTTAAATTAAAACAGACAATACACTGAACAGAGAAAGCAGCACTGCTGGTCCTTTCCCAGAGCTGGGAACGTCTACTGGCTGGGGATGGATAGTTCAAACTGTGACTCACGGCTGTGTGTCATTTGAGTACAGCCGGTGGTATTCAGGCTGCTAATATAACCGTGAAGTCATAAAGATAGAGCTCTATCAAACTTCTCTGACAACCCAGTTCTGGCCTATTTACTAGTAATATATGCTAGCACAGCATCTAAACATACGTCAAAGCCAGATAGGTGTAATGCTGCTGGCTTGGCTTCCACAGCTGACACACCGGGCCCTGTGCCTTTAACATTTTTGTGTACTACATACATGTTTTGAGTTTATCCCTTAAATTTGGGCATAGCTGGCAAAATGTATGTAGCATTTTTGCTGGTTTTGTTGCAACTTTGACTCCTACCCATTGGTCTACTTTGACCTCCTTTATATCAATAAAAACCAGTTGTAGGCTTCTCCTCTATTTTTTAAACTACTAACTTCAGCAACTAATTTGCTGCAAAATATAGACACTGTGCCAGGCTTACCAACGCAGTTGGAATAGATGGAACTTTTCCCACTCTTTTAAGAAGTGAAAAAGCAACCACTTCTAAGAGACTGATCCAAAATTAACTTTCCAAAGCTCACCGTGTAGGTATTTCATCCTCATGGAATAAAATCTCAATCTGATTCAGAGAATGTGCTTTTTTTTTTTTTTTTTTTAAATGTCTGTTTAAAGCCCATCTCTTGAAGGCAGTCAGCAGAGTGTGAACAGTTTGAAAAAGACATCGCAGCTCTCTCTTGAAACACCCCGCAGGCAATTTGTACAGGCAGGAGCACAGAGAAGAGTTTTGTCTCTTTTGGATTTGTCAGTGCTGCTGGGAACATCTGTGGACTTTGTCTTCTCCTGTCATCTATGGAGATCATGTGTCATTTTAGATTTTGTCAGATTTGTGATAGAAGTAACTAGTCTGCTTCCCCCACTTCTCCTCACCCCTCTGTCCCCCCCTTAATAATTACAAAAATGAGAAATTTGTAGATCCTATTATTATTGTCACCTGGTATTAATGTTCGATGAAAATTCTTGTTAAAGAACTAACATGTGATAAAGACAACACTAGAGTAATATTGCTTGAATATAAAGTGACTGTGGGACTTTCCATTAGAATATTTTTGACAGAGTAAACAGCTTCTGCAGAACCAGTGTCTTCTATGGCCAACAAACACATTATTTCCTTCTGGATGTGACTTTAAAAAAAACTAGTCTGATTTCATAAACTGATCTGAAGTATTTTCTTTTGATTTAGTCCTACATTAAAATGGACTGGGCTTGTTGTCCAGCCTCTCATCTCCTATTATAAGCTGGGCTCCTCATCTACCCCATGTTTACTACATGACACTGCACATTTTTCTCCATTTACGCTGTGTGATGTGTACAGGAGGGCAAAGTCAGACATGGGAATGTGGCCACCGGGCTCCCAAATCACACCTTCTACGAAGTACAGAGCACTGCCACCAGCTTTTTTATTGGGATCTTCCCAGCACCTGCCTCCCAGCCCTGGGACGCCTTGCCCAGAAATCTCAGCAGCAATGCAATGGTGGGGGACGTGGGGTCTGCCTGATCTGGAGGCTGTGCTGCATTTGCTGTTGCAGGCAACTTAACCTACAAGTCCAGACGAGAAGGTTGCCTCGGGACCATGCTTGGTAGGTGGTACAGAGGTACCGTACAGCAGCCTAAGTTTTCCATGAAGGGAATGTATTACTGAACTTAAATTAAAAAAAAAAAAAAAAAAAGGTAATCCGATGGATTCAACAGAAACAATTTTCCCCAAGATTTTGCTTTTTATAAACATTTTTTCATTTGGGAGTATTTTTTTCACCCCCTACAGCATAAAAAATGAACATATGTTGGAATACTGGAATTTCTAGTTAAACCGTGACATGCATCTGCTCTGCTTAATAGATGTGCTTAGAAAACCAGCTACTCATTGTCACAGAATGTTGTATATTTGACCTATATAAATATGACACCAATGAAGTGAAATTACTGTTTACTCCAGCCTCTCCCAGCCCTCCCAAGGGCTAGAGGCCACTGTGACAGGTGCTGTGGAAATGCACAGTAGGACTGTCTGTGCCATCAAAGCCTTGCGACTCCCTGCAAAGGATCTAATCCATTTTTACTGCTTGTTGTCTTCATTTCAAACACTTTGCCCATCACTAGGAGACATAACCTGTTCTTATATGTTTCTGCTTTCCTTTTGTGCATCCTACATCACAGCTGAGTATGAGCAGCTTATACAAAACTTTTCAGATGTGTTAATAAAATATTCTGGCCAAATACTAACCAGCTGATCCTTGCAATGCATGAAGCCTCACAGTTAGCTTTGAAAGAATTCCTTCCTCTAATTCTTTTCTTGGTTTGATTTAGTGCAAAGTAGAAACTTAGTCTTATTGATAAAGTGCTTTTCAAAGGACCATGTTTAACTACAGTTTGCAAATTTAATTTGTTAAAGGACTTAAGTGAGAGAGTTAGCCCAAAACAATTTAGCCATCTCAGATATGTTTAAACAAAATTAAATTAAAGTGATATTTGACAATGCCTTAATGCCATTTGTTAGGAAAATCTAGTTTTGCCAAAATGACAGAATTTTATCCTTAGGCGGCTTCTTAAACTGAGCTCTAGCTTGAGCAATGGCAAAGATTTCCAGGGCAGGCAGGAACAAGAAATGCAGAAGAAACCTTGGTCTGGCTATGAAACTTGGACTAGATTTGGGTATACCTTCTAAAAACCTTGTTAACCAAACAAGGGGTGCTGATAACTTACTGGTAGCTGTGAACCGAGGCAGACATTCAGCCAGCAGCTTCCTGAGAGCATCATCATAGCTGCACAGATAAGCAGTAGGTCACCTAAATACTGGTTTACAGTTATATGCAAAGATGGCAAAGTTTTATAGCCAGGATACATGGCTAAAAGACACCAAAGCTGTGCCTGGATTTGATGCAAGCCTCTTTATCGACATTCCCAGAAGAAATTCAACATCTGCGTACGTACAAAGAAAAACCCCTCCCAGTACAGCCCCTTCCAAACAACATCCCCTCCCTACATACCACTGCATACATAAACGCATACTTAGGCCCTGAAAAGGCTGGAAATCCAAAGTAAACTAGAGAATTATTTTCCAAGATCAAGAAATATTTGGGGTTTAAAACCAGAGCTGGAATCAGTGTCTCCCTGGTGTACCTTTCCCTAAAGACCCTTAAAAACTCTGCCCTACATTGAGCTTGAAAAATTATGCACTGGGAGAAAAAAAGGTTTAAAATGAAATGCAGAGTGCAAAATCAAACAGGTTGAAACAACAAAAAAGTTAGCTGAAAATTACAGATCTAATCTAAAGCTCAAGTGAAATCAACAGAAAAAATCCCACTGATTTTGATGGACTTTGGATTTTCACAAGGATTTACACTGTGTGCCAGGCAGCACAAAATGATTTCTTCTGTACACCCATTGGCCTCTTATTCCACAGAGGCAGGGTGTTTGCCAAAATAGTTACAGAAAGGGAATAACCACATCCTTTCAGGATGTGTTTTGTGCGGGGTACAGAGCAGGGTCTGCCTGCTGGCTTGTCACCCGTGTTGGTGTGGAGGTGCTTGCACAGGGCAGTGGCCACAGGTGGCTGAGCCCCAGGGAAGGCCGACGGAGCTGCGCCAGTGCCAGCGTGGTGCTGTGCTGGTGGCTGTGGTCGGCATGAGCTGCCTTGAAACTCTTGTTTTAGACATGGAGAGGAACATGTTCACACCAGGAAATATAGGGAAAAATACTCGTGTATGGAATGTGTGAGTAAGCAGATATCCCGCGAGCACCCCGGCAGAGGGATAATAGACAACCATAATGTGCTACATGCAAATGATGCTCTGCAGAGCAAAAATGTTATCCAGAAGGGAATGGAAAATTGTGGAATATGTTCATGTGCCCTAAGAGGCAGAACAGTAATCAGAAAGTCTGCCTCTGACTTTCTGACTCTCTTTCCTCACCGCACTTTTCTTCTCTTTGCAGGCAGTCTGGATCTGACCCAGACCTTGCCACGCTTGCTACGCCCTAACTCCACAAAGCACATCATGACCGCTGAGGATCTGGCACATAGGGC